AAAAAAAAAAAAAGACACAGATAAACAGCCAGATGAAGAGATAGATTGACAAAGTCTGGGAGGGTCCTGAGCGTGGGAGCTGGGGTGTACACCCTTCTGGTGTGGGTGTGTTTGCCAACCTGGAAGCTTTCTGAACCCCTACTATCAGGATTTTATGGAGGCTTCCTCCCATAAGCATGATCTGTTACTAACTCCATTTTTAGCACCCCCCTCCCCTCTCTGGAGAATGGGGAGCAAGGCTGAAAATTCCAAGCTTCAGAGGGAGGCTTGGTGACCATCCCCATCTAGGAGCCATCCAGGAGCCCACCCAGAGCCGCCTCAGTAGAAGAAAAGCTGCTCCTAGTGCTTTTTCCACTTAGGAATTTACAAGGGTCTTAGGAGCTCTGTGCCAGGAACCGGGGTTGGAGATCAGTCTATGTATTTTCTGTCACCCAGCAACCCCTGAACAAGTACTTACGTACTAGTAGAATTCACATGTGGACTCTCAGTTATTTACCAGGTAATTTGGGGAATGCTCCTTAACCTCTCTGCCTTAGTTTCATCATCTGTAAACGAGGGCAGATGGGCTGTAGAGAGGGTTAAATGAGATACAGATGTAGATAGAGTGCTTAGAACAGTGCTTTGGAGACACTCCATCCTGTTAGCTGCTCAGATCACAACACTGAGCGCGTGCATCTTAGACTCGCCTCGATGTTGCCGAGGTGGTTGTACCAATTTCTGTTCCCACCACCAGAGTGTGAGTGTCCCCATTTTCTCCAGTCTTACTTACTCAGGATCCTGTGTCTGTTGCGAGTCTACCAGTCACGTGTGTGTGGGATGGTTTCGCTTTCCCATCTGCCTTCCGTTAGGCAGCTTGAACATCTGTTCGTGTTTGTTGGCCACTCAGGTCTCTCTTTTCTGAGTTGCCTGTTCATTACCTCTTCTAGTCTTTGCCTGTTTTTCTGTTGGACGCTCTTTTTCTTACTCGTGTGTAAGCATCACACACACATGCATCTGTGTTAGGATTTTTTAATTTTTTTAAAAAAGATTTTATTTATTTTATTTGACAGAGATCACAAGTAGGCAGAGAGGCAGGCAGAGAGAGAGGAGGAAGCAGACTCCCTGCTGAGCAGAGAGCCTGATGCGGGACTCGATCCCAGGACCCTGGGCTCATGACCTGAGCTAAAGGCAGACGCTTAACGACTGAGCCACCCAGGCACCCATGTATTAGGATTATTAAGCCTTTCTTTGCTAGGTGTGTTACACTTCACTTCTCCCAGCCTGTGGCGTATCTTTTAGCAGATTTTTGGGGGGCATTTTTATTGAGATCGAATTCACATACCATACAGTTCTGTCATTTAGTGTGTATAATTCATTGGTTTGGGACATATTTTTTTTTTAAGTTGCAGTAAAACATGTGTGTGTGTGTGTGTGTGTGTAAAACAGAATTTGCCATTTCAGTCATTTTTAAGTGTACGGTTTTGGGGCACTAGGTACTTCCCAAATAGCAGGTTCTGCAGCTTCCAATTTGGATTCAGGCCATGTTGTCAGTCCTCAGGACTGACGCACAAAGCTATTCTCCGATCCCGTATTTTCTTCTAATTTTTTTTTAAGTTTTGTTTTGAGTCTCATGTTTTTCATCTACCTGGGGTTTTCGCTGCTTGAGTCCATTTCCGGGCGGCTGGTCCGGTCCATTGACGTATTTGTCTCCCCGCCTCGCGCACGCTGCTTTAGTCACTGTGCTACTTTTGGGAGGCTCTGCTTCAAGTCTGGGCTGGTCTTGGACTTTTATTGTTTCATCTGGAGTTTAGAATTAGTTTGTCAGATTCCACCAAAAATCATGTTGTGATTTAGGTTAGAATGGCTTAGGGTTCGGCCATCGCCTTGACACCTGTGCTTCTGCATTTCCTTTCCTCCCTGTCAGGCTGCTGTTCCTGTCCCTCCAGGACTTGGAACAGCATCTCCCCGTGCAGATGGTACCAGCAGCAGCTGGGTTTGGAGCCAGGGCCAGGAGGGACAGAATAGAGTGGTGACGGACCCGACAGCAGTAACCTCTGCAGAATTTGTGCCATGAAGGGACACGTTAGTGAGCTTTATGGTTGATACCTAATTTTCCCAATAACCCTGGAAAGAATCCAGCTCCGAGAGACAAGTGCCCGTGACTCCAGCACAGAGCTGCGTGTTGTGAAGCTGATGCTGTGGGCGCCACGCGGTCCACAGAGGCTGGGGGTGGGGGTAGTACATGTGGTGGTCAAGAGCAGGGCCCCAGGGGCCGCCTAGGCCATTCAGGCTCTGTTTGCTCCCAGCAGAGTGACTGAGGACAAGCTACTGAATCACTCTGGGCATGGTTGCCCCATTTGTAAACAAAAGGCTAATAATAGTGCCTTCCTGATGGAATTCTTTTCAGGATTAAATAGGTTAATGTGTGTAAAGTGCTTAGAATAGGCCCAGTAAGTGCTGTCTAAGCCACAGGGGCTGCAGCAGACCTCAGGGGTAAATGCTCTGGTTTCTGGGGAGCTGATTGCCTCTTGAGCGGGCTGCATTGGAAAGTGTGTGGACTTGGGCAAATTTAGGCTCCTATCTTACCTTGTCTACAACTGTGTCTTTTTTTTTAAGCTTTTATTTATGTATTTATGTATTTAGAGTGCGTGTGAACAAGCAAGCAGGGGGAGGGGCAGAGGGAGAATCCCAAGCAGACTGCCCATGGAGCCCCATGTGGGTCTCAAGCCCACAATCCTGAGATAAGGACCTGAGCCGAAACCAGGCATTAAGAGATGCTTAACTGACTGAGTCACCGTTGACGTGGCTGGGTAGTTGTTTTTTGTTTTTTTTAAAGATTTACTGATTAATTTATTTGTCAGAGAGAGAGCGAGCACGAGAGCTCATACACAAGCAGGGGGAGCAGAGGAGGGAGAGGGAGAAGGAGACATCCTGCAAGGCAGGAAGCCCTTTGCGGGGCTGGATCTTAGGACTCTGGGATCCTGATGAGCCAAAGGCAGATGCTTAACCCACTGAGCCACCCAGGAGCCCACGACTGAGCAGTTTTGAGAGCGTTACTAAACCTCTGAAATTGGCCCCGCCCTGGTGACCAGGCGAGACCAGTACAGACCCATGTTTCTTCCCTGACACTCCCAGCTTCTGCTCACCCGCAGATCCTTCCCCGTAGGTGCCCCGTGTGCACTCACAAAACAAAATGCCTTTCCTTTCTTTCTGTTGCCCCTTCTGAGGCACTTTTCACACAGAAAGTTGCCCCAGGACTATTGCTTTCGTTTTCAGCTGTTGGGCTCCCTGCTGTAACTCTGGGTCACCGGAACCTGGTCGGGCAAGATCCAAAGACCTTTGTATTTATTCCCGAACATTTTTTGAGGAAACTTTGGCCACCTGCGTGACCGTGTGTGTGCCCCATGCTTACCAATTCAGAGCGTTTGACATTATTGACCACCCACTCCCGAAGCTTCTTCCATTGTTCTCCTAGCCATACTGCCTTCCCTTCTGCTCACATCTCACAACCCCTCCCCTCCCTCAGTGCCAGCCACTTCTTTCAGAGCCTGTCTGGCATCCTGCACCACCGGGCCCTTCCACTCGGCAGAGCCTTCCTGCTAAGCATCTGCCGTGTGCCTGCGTGTCGCTGCTCAAGGAGCTTGTTGTCCCCAGGGGGAGAACCAGGGAGCCAGCTCGCCCCCGGTGAGCGACAGCAGGGCTAGAACGCAAGCACAAGACCAGTGGCAATGTCAGTATCTTATAAATGGTCAGAGTTCATCACATTTTGACAAAATCAGTGAAACTAAACACTGAAATCTTTCAAATACATTTATAAACAGATGATCGAATGTTTTTGTGACAGCCAGTAGGCTGACCGCGGCCTCTTTTTTTTTTTTTTTAGATTTTTTTTTAAATTTATTTGACAGAGATCACAAGTAGGCAGAGAGAGAGAGGGAGAGAGAGAGAGAGAGGAGGAAGCAGGCTCCCTGCCGAGCAGAGAGCTGGAGCCTCGGCCTCTTTTGACCTTGGGTGCACCTGTCCTGGACGTGAGGAGCTCTGACCTCTCTACTGTAGCTGGTTCCTCTGGGCCTTTATGCCATCCTGCCCTGCTGAGTAGAGCTTTCTGGACCACCACCTGAGGGCAGCTCTTCCACTCAGGCTGGGGAGCGCCTGTTGTACAAATGTTTCTTCTCTCCCCTGCCAGCCTGGGCTAGAGAGTCCCACCCGTGTTCCTACTCCTCCTTCCCCCAGAGGTCTTCCGCCAGCCGGTCCACTTTCTCTTAGTGGAAATGCCACTGTGTGGTTGCAGGAGCTATGCGGAACTGTGGAGGTGCCAGCTGGGAAGACTTGGGAAGGGCTCAGTTTTGGTGGGGAAGGGCCCCCAAGGGAAGGGAGGGGAGGATAGGGGGAGCAGAGAGACTGGGGAGAAAGTAGAAGCATGTGAACACCTGTCTGAAATAATAGTATAAATGCCAGATCCCCGCCTTTTGTCCTTAAAAATCTATGACCTTCCAGAATCCTGAAAACTAGTGTCCTCATTCAACAATAGGAGGAATGCTCTGGGATTGAAGGGGTAGACGTCCCTCCGAGCCTGAGGACGGCCAGATGGGTGAAGAGAGGGATGGCTGGATGCGGAGGTGGTGATAGCTGAGCTGAGTCGTTGCAGATATCTGAATAGGAAGCAGCGGAGGGGGAAGCAGGGGGGGCTTTGGGTGCGGACAGCATGGGCCACGGTGACCCGGAGGCGGAAGTTTGATAAGGAAGGCTCAAGTCCCTGGGGGAACAGATACCGATGAGTCCTTTGCCCAAACCTGTGGGACTGTACTGTGCTGCATAGCACTCTCATGTCTTGGGTGTGTCCTTAACGAACCGTGTCGTAAGTAGAGGTCTTGTCTGCCACGGGGACGTGGTGGCTCTGGATTTTTTGTCCGTTTGAAGTCTCTTAGTGCACAATGTGCACCTGCACACACAGGGGTGTGCCCCCAGCGTGCTGACTGCCACGTGGCTCGGTCACCTTCATTCATTCCTTCTTCCTGCAGCCTGGTGCAAGCAGAATACTGGCACGACCCAATCAAGGAGGACATGTACCGCAACCACAGCATCTTCTTGGCAGATATTAATCAGGAGAGGGTAAGGTTCTATCCCAGGCTGCTGTTGCTGTGCGTTCAGGTTGCTTTTGGGGCGCCGCACGCAGATGAGCTGTGACCGTTTACCCAGAATATCCTGGACACACACCCTGGGGAGCAGAAGTTCTGTTTTGGGAAGGCAGTGCTTATGAGCGTCAGTTCCTTTTAGGAAAGCTGAAATTCATTTGGCTTTCTTCCCGTAGGTCCTTTTCCTTGCCTTGCGTTGAAGAAGCAGGGTAAGCTCAGTAGGTTGCTGGCTGGCTTAAATGGAGCGTCACAGTGGCTGTCTTACTGAGGGCAGCCTTCCTCGTGGGTCCCTTGGGAGACTTAGAAGAGAGATGGCAGGGGGGACCGAATATGTCCCAGACACAAGCTTGGTTTGGTTTGTGGGATTCTGGTAAACTCAGTGACTCAATTTGTATTGGGCCCATCTGCAGGGTTTTTTTGTTTTGTTTTGTTTTTTAAAACAAAACTTGAGGGTTGGTGCGGAAGAAACAGAAGTGTTATAGCAGAACCACTCAGAATGTGCGGTTTCTCATTTTGCCTTGGCTCTCTCTGGGTGGCTGCCTTTAACCTATGTGACGGATGCCTATGGAGTGTGGTGACAGACTATGGTTGGTGGGGGCATTGCCAGTTAGATAGGATGGTAAGAAAAGGCTTACAAGGTATATTCTGGGCCGGGAGCTGGAAAACCAACCCATTGTCATGGGGAGGAAATACGGTGGCCCAGGGTTGGGGAGGCCAGAGCACTGGAAGGCTTTAACATCCCTGCTGGAATCTGACGGTATTGTCCCTGAACTACTACTGGCTTTCTTCCAGGGAGTCAATGAGTCCTACAAGAAGAACCTGATGGCCTTGAAGAAGTTTGTGATGGTCAAGTTTCTCAATGATTCCATTGTGGACCCTGTGGACTCTGAGGTGAGATGCTGTGCGGGCAGGCCACACCACACCGGGAGACCAAAGGAGTAAATGGCATTATAATACAGCCACCTGCTGGGGAGAAACCTTCAGTCCCTTACTCCACTTTCTGTGTAGAGCAGGGCTTCTTTGCTCGAGGTCTACAAATGGGACACTTGGGGCTATAACACCCGCCCAACACCTGAAATTGTTTGCAAAATTATGTAGTGGCATTGTCTGAGGAAGGGTCTATAACTTTTACCACATTATCCAGGAGACCTGTGACCCAAACCATCAGCCCAAAGTCTGTAAATCCCTGAGCTTGGCATTTAAAGTCCGCCTTGACCTACCTTTCCAACTTAATCTTCCTTCATGTCCCACTTCATACATATACTCTAGGATGAAGTCTTGAAATGCACCAGACTTGGCATGTGTTTTTACTCTTAGTGCTTTTGTTCATTCTTTTCAGTCTCTAGAGTGCCCTTCCCTGGGCTTTTCCACCTGACAAGCTAAAGTTCATCTGTCAAGGCCAAGCTCAAACGTCACTTCTTCCATCCAGGATGTCATCCCTAGTCCAAGCAGACTTTGCTCCCTCTTTTGCAAAATCATCACATTATGTCAGGCCATCAGGGACTAGCCAGCCTGATCGGCCCGCCATCTGCTTTCACAGGGCCCGTGAACCATTTTTTAATGGTTAGAAAGAAACCAAAAGAATATCTGATGACAAAGGTTATATGAATTCAAATTTCAAGGTCCATGGTGAAATTTCATTGAAATAGAGCCATATTCATTTTTTACCTTTTTGAAAGCCATATTCATTTTTTATATATTGTGTGTGGCTGCTTTTGTTTAGAAGGGCAGCCCTAGGGAGTTACACTCATGTGGCCCTTAAAGCCTAAGCTATTTTGTATCTGGCCTTTACAGAAAAGTTGGCTGATCCCTGTGCTAAACACTTGTTTCTTTGTCTCACCAGACCAGAGCTGTAGAAAACAGGGACCACATATATATTTATCTTCAATGTCAGATTTAGCGCAAGGATTTTCATAGCGTAGGTGCTCAGTCACTGTAGGAAACAGGAATTCTGTGGAATTGGAAAGCACTTTGGAAAGATTAACTCATCCCTCAGGATCTACCCTTAAAAAGAGATGACTCAAGACATACTGTTTTCACTCTTTGCTACAGCTTGGTGATGTTGTTTGTTGGCAGTCTTAACTTGACAATATGTGCTGTTGTGTCTGATCTTTGTTCGCCCTCCTCTCCTGCAGTGGTTCGGGTTTTACAGGAGTGGCCAAGCCAAGGAAACCATCCCCTTGCAGGAGACCAGTCTGTACACACAGGTAACCAGAGAGGAGAGGTGCTGTCTTTTTCAGCTCCTGGTTCCCAAAGCTGCTCGATTCTTTGGTGATAGAGGCTGTCCTGTATGCCCCAGAGCAGTGGGTGCTCGGAGGCCTGTGACTTGGTCTGATACGGGTGAGGCCGGTGAGGGAGCTGATTGTGACCCCAGTGTCTCAGGCGCTGGGTTATATTAGTGTACATCCTGAAGGATGAAGGACCTGGACCTCATGGCTTTCCGTATGTACAAAGATCACCTCATCCAGTTTTTTAGAACCTCTAGTTCTGGGACCTTCCGCACTCCAGGGAACGGATATTGTAACTGGACCCTCCCAAAAGGCACAAGTGCTATGTGCGCCACTTGCCTTCTACAAGAATTCTCCTGAGTAATTTCGCGGGCCGGTTGTCTCCTCTCTTGGCTTATCTCCAGCATTTGGGTGGCCCAGCTTGGGTGAGCTCAAAGGAAAGGGAAGCTCAGGTCTGTTGAGTTTTGGAAATTACAACTAAGAACTTCCCTCTCGTCCAAGTCAAACTGATGGTAGCTGCAGCAGAAGCAACACTCCGGCTCTGTCAGCTGCTCGTCCTCCCAGCCATGTTTGTTCTGTGCCACTGTGGGTAGTGCCAGGATATGAAAAGTGAGGTGTGTTCTTGAAGGGTTAGATGTTTTCAGCTTTTTCTGTTTTTGGCTCAGTCTCACTTGACTGACATTTTGAGGCAGTTTTGTCTGTGGCCTGCCCACCCACACAGGTGGTCCTTCAGAAGCTTTAGGAAACTTCTCAGAAAGCTGAATATAGAACTCTGTAGACAACAATCTCAATTATATCTATGTTTTGAATGCTCAGGAAGAAAATAGGGAGGTATCCTTTTTAGCAATTTCAACAGTGTTAACACCTAAATTTTGCTACTCTGGGAAAAGACTACACTTTTGAGCATGTATCTCAAATGAACATTGTTTCTTTAAAACTTAATTTTTCGTGAAGCCTCTTAATTATGATCTGTCTGCAGGACCGCCTGGGGCTAAAGGAAATGGACAATGCAGGACAGCTCGTGTTCCTGGCTGTGGAAGGGGACCATCTTCAACTGTCTCAAGAATGGTTTTATGCTCACATCATACCCTTCCTGGAGTGAAACCCTTGTAGTCTGCCCCAGAGCTCGGGAGCCCCTAGCGTTTCTATACACCAGTAGGAGCGTTCCCTTCATGCCTAAGCCTGAGCTCACATCCAGCTTGCAACTAATCCTTCCCTCTGGTTATCACCTAATACGCCCTGCTCAGAAAGATCTAAGATTCGAATCTTATCCTTTGCCTCCTCCTATCAGCATATGGTGTTGAATGCAAGTTTAATTAGTTAATAACCATGCATGGAGATTATTTTACAATCCCTCAATGTGGTCAGGCTGTCTTAGGCAAGTCTGCTGCTGATCAGTGTCAGAACTGTGCCCAGAAGAGTCTGAAGCTAAAGCAATTAGAGTTTAAGGGAAGACACCTTTTTCAGGAAAGCCTAGCCACATTTCAAGCCAAGAGGCAGCCAGTATCCAGGCCTGAGGGGACCATAAATGCTTGCTCAGTTTTGCTGGTGGAGAGCCAACCAGTGCTTGTGAAAGTATTGTTTAGATAGTGTTTCTGTGTAATTCTTGAGGCTACCCTCTTTTCTCAGTATGTTGTCTCCTGTGGTGCGTTAGCATTGACATCTGCTGGGCCACCATCTTGTCTCAATAGCACCTTGTCTCATCAGGTAGTGATAAATTAGTTGCTCTGTCACAAAAGGGGGGGGGGGGAGTAGCACCCAACTGGATTGCTTAAGGTGGCGGTGGGTGGGGGATGGAGTACATCTTGCTTAACTTGGGGGAATGAAGACAAATGTTCAAGTGGACAGAACACTGTATGTCAACTACACCTCAGCTGAACAATGTACAAGCAGAAACGATAAGTGAGGACACAGCTGGTCCCTTCCACTCCATCCTTGACTAACCTGTCCCTTTTTCCGTGTGGCCAGTGGTCTACGTTCTAGAGTCACTGTGCTGCTGGTGTTAGCAGACAATGGAAGAATGGAAAGAGATCAGGCTTTCTAACTCCATCTCAAAAAACTAGTAAAATTTACAGTACACTCAAAACTATTTCTGATGTATTTGATGAAAAAAAGGATTATTTGCTCAGAAAGCTTGGAGAATACTGCATACCTTTTCTCCTGAGATCAACTCAGAATACTAAGGACTGAGAATTCCTGTTACAATAAAAACAAACAAACAAACTAACTAACCTTTAGCTACTGTTTTCCCATACTATGTGAGCATGGACATCTTAGCCTCCCACTACTCCACCCTGAGAAAACCTATCAACACTTCCTGGAAAACTATTGTGCAGAATGCTCATGTGAGGGACGACAGCTGTGCAGAGAGAAGCACCTTGTTAGTGCTGCTAAGTTTACGCTTTATGATTTTTCTCTCCCCTCTCTCAAGCTTTATTTCTCAACTAGAAGATGAGGATTAAGGGTAGCAAGTGGGGGGAATGTGAAAAAATTTTATGATACTGTCTAAAATAAAGACTAGTTTCTTATCCTTGGTGTCCTTTTCCTTCTCAATACTCTTACATACCTCTCAGGGCATCTGGTTGGGTCAGTCGGTAGAACATGCGACTCTTGATCTCGGGATTTTGAGTTCTGAGCCCCATGCTGAGGTAGAGTTCACTTCAAAAAAATATTCTTACATCTCTGTACAGTAAACATCATAGGTAGATACTAATCAAGTTTGGTATTAATTTTATTCTATTTTTTGTATAACTTTAAGTACATAAAGGTTTATTTCCACAGGCCTCAGGAAATGGGTAGAAGTCACAGGACAATCTCTCTTCCCACCAAAAAAGTTGCATTATTTTGGTAAGTGTCCCAGAGAGAAAAACGGTAATTTACATTAGCAGTGCTGTGCAAGATTCTTACATAAGACCTAAAACCAGGCTGCAGTGGAGATTTTAGTCCTTTGTTCAGGTGCCCGGACAGAAGCCAAAAGCAGTTGAGCATGACAGGGCAAAGGAGGCAGTGAAGGTGGAGGACAGGCACCCAGCATGAAAGGAGGAAGGAATTCCAGATCCCTTGGAATGGTGTTTTCCGTTTTTTTGTTTTATTCTTGTTTTAAGTCGTCTCTGTAGGAAGGTGCTGGGCAGGGATCCCAGTGAAAGGAAGGGACCAAGACTCCCTTAACTGGCCTGGGTACAGGGCACTGCCACAGCGGCTGACACGGGAGAACCTACTCTCCCAGGTTCAGGCAGAGCCAGGATGGAATGCAGAATGAAAGAAATGCTTATGGGAAACAATTCTGCTTGGAATGCTAGCTGGCCAGCTTCAGCCTTTGGTCAGGTACAACCCCTGCCTCACTTGTCAATAGTGAAAAATTAGTTCGGTTAGAAGAACCCGCTAGAATCACACTGGCCTCTGCTACCTTCACGCTCATTGTTAGAAAAAGATGAACTTGTGTGAACATTCTGATCTGTTAATCCCCGGGGACTGCTTTAGTCTTCCCAAAGACTGTTGGTCAAATAGCCTGCAAAGGCTGAAAGCTTAGACACACCAGTGCTGGTGTGCGGTTCCTTAAGGAGGGACTGGCGGTGTGGTTGAGCCGATAGGGAAAAGCCGCACCTTCCTGCAGAAGATGAACTGACCTGCTCTCCCGCCCCAAATCTCAGCCTGAGGTATATTTCAGTGAAGGCAGGTAGCTGTGCTTCTCAAAGCAGAGAAGCAGTTTAAGAGCAGAAAGGTAGAGGAAACCTAGAAAAGAACCGTCTTGATACAGATTTATCCCATGGTGTGAGGGAGAGGGCAAAGAACCCGGTGGCACTTCGCTTATCCAGCAATTTCTGTCACTGTGGTGACCAATTTCTGCCCATTCCATAGGGTCTTGAACTGCTCAGGGACTGGGAATTCATTCTGCAAATAAAGAAACCATGTTTAAATCCAAGCTACACAATAAATTGAGGTTAAATCTTACACTCTTCTCCCAACACTTGCTTCCACCAAACTCTTGGAGCAAGAAGGATGTCCTGAGAGCGAGACCGAACCACCTACAGCAGCCTGGCTGTGTGAGTGGCAACACATCTCCTACGACCCAGCTCCCCTGCCGCTGACATAACAAAGGGGCGCTGCGTGGGGGAGTGAGAACAACTGCCCCAAGGCCAGAGAGGCAGAGGTGTGAGTGTGTTCCCCACGGATACTGGATCAGCAATCTCAGACAGACAAACCTGGGAGGCACAGATGAGAACATATACACGTTCTCGTATATACTGCACGGTGCCAGTCCTTTGGGGGCTGTGACTCAGTCCCATTCCTTGTTACTACCCTAAGCGTCTGCTCAACCTAAGGAAGGAAAAGCCACCTCCTTTGGAGCTCTACTTCATGAGACCACCTCACACTCATGGGTAGGGTGTCTGAGGTGCGTATTGCTAGGCTAGACCCACTCAGTGCAGAGTGGCCATGAACTAACTTTCTCTGATGCAAGAAATCTTCAGTCCCTCCTGTTTTTAGAGCATATCAAGAGATCAAGAAACTTACAAAGTCACCGCCTTCTGTAGGAATGAGGACATTCATCTCAGAAGATTTGGCACTGACTATCTCGCAATCCAAGGAATTCTTGCTCAGGTAGACATGGCAGCCGTCTGTTTTGTTGATGGAAATGGTTGGCACTTTACCCATTACCTACAGAGGAAACCAAGAAGCTTAGTCCCAGTAGCTGAGGAGAGCAATAGTACATTTCAGAAAAAAGCTTTCACTATTTTAGGTGATTCAGCAATCGCATGCAAGCTCACAGGTATACAGCAGATACTGGATACTGGAGGTGGGCTGGGATGGGGGCTGGAAAGGGCTGACTCTAAGAGCCAACTCCTTTCCTGCCACCAAAGCAGCTCAGCTTACAGACTCCGTAGAATCAAATTCCCAGCACAGCAACATCTGTGGGTCAGCCATGTCTTTCAATTAATTCCTCAGGGACCAAAGGAAGGAGCCAAGATATCAAGTTACCTGAACTTTGACATCCCTGCTATTGATTATCTCCACAATGCCCACCACATCATCGAACACCAGACCGAGTTTCTTACAGTTATCTAGAAGGGAGCAGATCAACAGTGTAACATTTTCACGAGGCTTGAACTCACAACCCCGAGATGAAGACCGAGCTGAGATCAAGAGCTGGACACTTAAGTGAGCCACCCAGGCGTCCCATCAACAGAGTAACTTTAAAGGAAGCTACTGTAATAAATTTAACAATCTTTAGGAATAGGGTAGGCATGATTCCAGCCCTCTCAGCATTCGGACAGAGCCTGCCTAGGACAATGACAAAAACTCACCTACTGTAATGGAGTTTATTTTGCCCTTGATTTGCAATGTCGTGTTGACACACTTGTATATGTAAGCCACCTGTTTCAGCTCCGTGTCATCAATCACCAGGTTGGGAATGTTCTCCTGATTTTCCTGTTTAAGAAATACCCCTTTCAGGAATCCCATCACTAATACACCCTACCCCCCAAAACAAGCTGCCCCAAAGTTCTGTTCTTGTGATCTAAGCCAGAACCCTGCACTGTTTGGCTGTGCTCTGTTTAAATCCCCTGTCCCCACTTCTGGCTCCTTCTGGCATTTTTAACTCACCACTCTCCACTTCTTGCCCTCCAGTTCCAGTACAGCTGGCTCCTTCTTTGTGGTTGGTTTTGAGGATGGGCTGACTCCTGGTTTAGGTGCAGAGAACGGTTTGGGGCCACTTCGTACCGGACCGCTCTGAGCCTTCAGGGCAGGGTTCCTGTGAGTCTTCATGTCGTCAGACACATGTTTCAGGGCTGTAGGAACAACAGCTACCTTGGGCCTGGTCCTTCATACCATGGTTTTGGGCTAAGGCAATAACCAACTTCTGCTCTCAGTGTTAACAAAAACTTTAAAGCCAAAAGCCAAGCCCTTGAAGATGTTCTCTCACAGTCAGTTTTGGGGAAGTGCTTTTAGAATTTCCCTTCTACCCCAACGTTCAATTATACAGTTCCATTAAAAAAACAAACAAACATGGAATGTGTGGATATGAAAGGACTGGGTGTGTGAATGCACAGAAGATCTTGAAAGACACTTACCAAATATATATTCATAATATATGTAGAGTTTTTAAAGCACAAAAGAAAAGTAATACATGATAGTAAAAAAAATTTGGGAAAAAGAAAGAAACCTCACCCACAACTGACCTACCACACCTCCTACTCAGTATCTGCATTTGAAATCTCATTCCACGAGTTTTCCTACTGATAGAAGTTTTTTATTTGGTTATAACCGTACACA